ACTTTTTTTATTACTGTGTAACCACTGAAAAACTAAAAACGGGAAAAGAATCCTTTTTTCTGTTTCTGGTTGGTTTTACGTGTTTCGGTCCAGTTGTTCAGTGTTTCCCTCCAGGGCTGCAGCTCTGGGAGGCTCTGCTGCCTCTGACATCATCCTGCTGCTGCTGCTCATTCAGCCTCCGACGGTGGGAATATGCTAAAACCGTCTGTAAAGTGCTGCAGCCCTCATCGCCTCTTCCCTCATAAATCACGCTGCAAAGCATGATGGGAATGCGACGGTAGCGGGCTGAACTAAATCTGGAAGTCTTGGTCTTCCCCAGTAAAGGGACAGTTTTGTGTGTTTTCCAGACACATGGGAGCCATTTTATAGCAGGATCAAGTAATTATGTTACCTTCAGTTGTTATAAAAATGCTTCATATTTCAAAGAAATTTAGCGCCTGTCTCTTTAAGAACTCCTGCTGTGTCTGAAGCTCCGCCTTCAGGAAGTCATCCCAACATGGCGACTCTATTAACCCTTAATATCCACACCATGTGTTGCTAAGTCTCGTAAAATCCACTGATATCACTGAAATCTAAAGAGTAACGGCGAGCGGCCATCTTGTTTTCTATAAACGTCGACTGAAACTAGAAGCGTTGATGAATAAACTGTTTAGATTCTTTTTGTTGCTGAACGCGCTCAGGAAACAGCCGCAGATCTGAGGAAAGGTCTTTCATGTCCTCCATTATTCATCCCAACCTTTGATGGACTCGCCTGGAGACGATTGACGATGTTGATACCCTGAGCTAATTACCTTAATTACCCCCCAGCAGCACAGAGAGGGGGAGCGCTGGCTCACTCTGCCGCTAACGAGACTCTTAACGAGGTCGGATCCGATTGGTCGGGGCTTCTGCGTTTTTATGAGGATCAGCAGAAGATTAGAGGTTCATCTTGGAGCCGGTTCTGATTCTTCTGCACTGCAGGAATAGAAACCTGAAGTTTTAATTCAGGATTTATGATCATGTTTGGTTCTGGTTCTGGAAACGCCACCAGACCAACTAACTGTTCCTGAACAGGTCCGGTTGGTTCATATCTGACCCAAAACCGTTCCTCAGCTTCCAAAGCCTGTAAAAAGTATTGATGTTTCAGCCTTTTATTGCTTTTATAAAAAATCATGAGCAAAAAAAAATACTTTTCTGTCAAAGAAAACTCAGTGAAAACTGATTTCTGTAAAATAAAAACTAAAATATGTGACATAAAATAAGTCGTTGCATAAATATTCAGTATTTATTGTTTACACCTGGATTGGTTTCAGTTAGGCTGCAGTTTTCCTCCATTTTTCCTACTAAGCTGTAAACAGGTCTGGGCTTTGACTAGGCCACTGCAGAACGCCCTCCTTGTTTTCGTCAAACCTTTCTGCTCAGCTGTAGCTAAATGCTTCGGGTCGTTGTCCTGATGGGAAATAAATGTTCTCTGTCTGACATGATGCTGCCACCACCGTGCTTTACACTGTTTGTCTGATGAACCCAAAGCTCCATTTTGGTCCCATCAAACCAGAACTTTGTCGTTTTTCAAAAGAACAGCCTGAGAGATGACGAAGAGACGCTTCGTATCGTTTTGTTGGTGTTCTGTAGGGAGTAAAGTCAGTTCATATCAGTTTTACTCTTTAAATGCTTTTAAAATACATCAGAGACAAGAAGTGTATTGAATCTGTTTAGGTTTTACTTTAAAAGTGCATGATTGTACTTTAATATCACTAAATGAATTCAGTAGAAAGTTAGTGACGGCTCTGTTGGTTATTCTGTCCAGAAAACAACCAAACTAAAACAGGATTCCTTTCTGTTGATGAAAAATGTCAGAATGAAGTTAGAAGTTGATCTCCTGCATGTTGTAAATCATCTCATGTGACATTTTGAGGAGTTTCCCTCAGTAGGAGGACGGTTTGTAGGTCAGACCCACCGATCTGTCCTTCACCTAACTCACACCTTCCTCCCTGCCTGTCGGAGGGAGACGGATGTCAGCCGGTGCGTCTGGCTGCAGAGGGCTGTAATTATCTGCTGCTCAGCCTCATCTGGCCTCCATCTGCTCGACTCGGCCGCGTTCGCTACGCTGCAGCGCGCAGACCAAACAGGTCGTTACGCTGTTCCACAAAAACCCGCAGCGCTGATTAAAAGCTAGAAAACACAGGAGTATCAGATATGGTAAAAGTCTCAAAAAATATCGCAGAACCAAGAATCCTGCAGGAAACCTGGGTAATAATTACAAAACTACGCTACAAGTATTAGAATGCTAAATAAAAGAGCAATAATAATAATATTTATAAAAACACCATTTATAAAATCTAAATGGTTAAAGTTTATTCATGTAGTGAAACGGCAGACAGCCCTAGTTCCTTATGCAGCCAAAAATAAACAATTACCAGAAAACATTCAACAATTAGTGAATCAGAGTTTAAAATATGCAAATCTAAAACTGTTAGAATAAAATTTGAGTCAAACTGTGAAATAATTTGAATATTGAACAAAGTTGACAACAAAACAGTTGTCTTTTCCAGCGGCCATTGTACCAGCTGACCAAACTCTGGTTGCTAGGTAACGGCTCATTTTCCAGACACCAGAAATCATGAGCTTATTGCCCAAAAGCAGCTGTTTTCTTAAGAGTTTGCGTTGCTTTTAGAAGCAGTGGAGACCCGACTGGAAGAATAAAAACATTCAGAATGTGAATTTAGTGTAATGGGTCCCTTTAGGGCCCCAGATGGTTTGTTTTTAGTGGGGGTGTGCTGCTCTCAGCTGAGCCTTTTGTGTTTGTTGTGTTGGGTAGATGTCAGCTGAAGGGCCCAACATGTCTCTGCAGCTCCTGTCATTCAGCATCCTACTCACTGCAGCTCCAAATAACTCCTCCACAGTTCCTCTCTAATAGTGCCGCTGCTAATGCGTTTATGCAGCAGTGGTTGTTATGGCTGCCTCTTCATTTCCAAATTGCTCCCTGGTGTTTCCAGATATTTTTGCTTTGTTTTTGTTTGCACGGCTGCACTCGGAGGCCTCCTCTGACACGTCTCAGCCCAGAGTGACTCAAGTCTGCTTGCTAGAAAGGCTGGAGACTGTTGGGAAACGTCTGAGGAAAGACGCGGCTGCACCGGTCGGGCGGGTTCCTCCTGGACTCCACCAGGATTTATCCCCTCCAGCATTCCCTGCTGCCAATTTGAACTTGAATGAGGATTAGTGGGTTAAAGGTCAGAGCAGATTTCCAACCAGATGACACATTGAAGCGCACAGTAGCAGCATTTGAGGGTTTCATAACTGTTAACCAGCTGCAGCAGTAAACCTGTTTTTTTGTGGTGGGTCTTTCCTGAAACCTCCTTGTTTTGCCGTTTTATAAGCGTGGCACAGATTCCTCTGAAGCAGAAGCTGTGGAGATGTAATTCACTTACCGCAGAGCATAAACCTTCAGATTGATTATCTCTCCTCGGAGAGTTTCCTCCCATTCTTCTTTAAAGCCACACGACTCGGCAGCAATCTGAGAGGAATCTGTCCTCTGAAGGCTGAGCTTCTGCACAGCGGAAACCGCTAGCTGGTGATAGCAAAGCGGAACGAAGGTTAGGGGGTAAATACTTTCCACACAACGCCAGTTTGGTGTGGATAGATTATTTAACCCTTAATAAATGAAGTCACATTTTAGAAAACATCTTGTATTTCCTCAGGTTATCGTTGTTCAATATTAAAATGTGTTTAATCTGAAACTTTCAAGTGAAAAATGGAAAAAAAATGTTTATTATTATAATTACTCAAATGTGGGTGCTAGTTTCGTTAAGGAGCTACAGTGACAGTATTTAGCAGAGACTAATGCTAACGCGCCAGCTTAAATCATGTTGATCCCATTTTGTCTCAGGAACAAATGCTACAGCGTAGTGTATCGCCCCCTACAGGGGCAGACTTGTCATTACACGCCTACATATACGTTTTTTTGGTATAGATGTTTCACTCATAGTTTCAGTTTCATATTTGTTGAGTTTTGGTAAGTAATTGACAGTCGGGCTTCAGAAAAGAGAGAACAGGAAGACAGGAAAGAGAACAGCAGCATCACCACCTTCAAAATAAGAGCATGAATAGGATGACAAACTTTATTCAACTGTTTATACAACAGCTAATTGAATTAGTGCTTTAAAATTTAACCAGAAAAAATAATTTAGGGGAAGCTAAGCGCGCTAAACGTTTCTAAAACTAGCTTAGCTATTAGCGGCCTTTTCTTTTGTGACGTTTGAAGACTGGAAGCTGCAGGTTCTGACCCGGTCAGCTGAGAGGAAAAGTGTCGTTTTTCCATCTTCACTCTGCCTTGGTTGTCATACGGTGTGCTAAAGGTGTGACAGGAAGGACGCTCTGCTGGAGTTATCAGGGCAGCAGAAGGAAGCTGGTCCAGTGACCCCAAACCTGTCCCACCATGAGCAAACCGAGGCTCCAAACCTAAACGACTAAAATCACATAAAGTCAGAAATGTTCCAGAGTTCAGTGGAAGGGACCTAAAAACCAGAAGAGTCGGATCTCCTTGGTACAGAAACTCCTTGAAACATTTTGTTTCCTTCGGTTCTGGCATACAGCTCAAAGTTCAGTTTCCTTTACAGAAGCAGGTTTTGCAGCGGGTGTAACTCTAGTTGATGTTTCACTTTGTTTCCATTTAGTTTTCTGGCTGTGGTCTGTTTTCCTCCATCTGTTACAGAAATTAGTTCAGTTTAGAGCTAATGATTATTGTAGGAATCAGTTATTCTCACGATTAATCAAGTAATCAGATAAAAAAAACATATTCTGCAGATTTATTTTAATTTAACCACCTAGGTTTATTTTATATATTAGACAAAGAAGCAATTCAATCCTTTTTTTTCAATAAGAAAAGAAACATTTGATATATTGATCACTTTTTAATTTAAGTAATTTAATTTAAATAATAATTTAATAATAATTTAATAATTTAATTTAAATATTTATATTATAACATAAATATTTAAAACGTTTATTGTTTATATTTTAATTTCTATTCTCCACTTGTTGATCCATCATCCTAACTTTGGGAATTTAGAAGCTTTTAAACTGGAAACGTTTGGATTCAGGATTATTTCCGTCAGAATCTGTTGAGTGTTTGAATTTTCTCTACATCTGATGCAGTTTTTAAAGAAAGGAAGAGTGAAAGAAGCCTCCAAACGCTGAATGTTTGGAGGCTTTCTGTGGCCTGAATTTGCTAAATCTCCAGCAGACCTTCAGTGTTGGTCTCGGTTTCTGTGGACTGATGGGAACAAAGGTGTTATCAGGCCATAAAAGGATCAAGTTGAGCTTTTATTACAGCTGATAAAAGCTGCAGATTCAGGGACTCTAAACTGAAGGTAATTTAGCTGCAGATGTTTGAATAAAAGATGAAACTTTGCTACAGATAATAAAAACACCTCAGATTGGAGCTGCAGCTTGTTTCCTTCACACAAACAGAGACGCGTTTCCTCGCCTCAAGCCGTTCATGGTCGCTCTGTATTTGGTTGCCATGGTGAGCCAAGCGCCTCGGCCGTGTTTTTATCTGCTGTCCTCAGAAAGTTTGATCCATCCGTCCTCAGTGTGGACACGTTGGACAAGCTGCGGCTTGTAGACCTGAAGCTGGTGTTGTAATTATTAGAGTCAGAGCGAGTTGGTCCTGAAAAACACGGCAGAGCAGGAAGTCACTCCGATGTGCCTGCAGAGATACAAGCACGATAATTACAAACTACTGACAGGACCGAGCGCACAGCCCTGAGGAACGCCACAGCAGGACATCTAGGAAGTCATTACTATTATATAAAAAAATATTTTAATTCAGAAATGATTCATAATAAAATGGAATTGTGTTGAAATTTATTTAGCAACTTGATGAAGTGAATTGTTATAATTCTCAGAAAAAGGATCTTTTTTCCTCTTATGTTCATTAAGACAATATTTTTGTTTCTTTTAAAGCTTCTACATTTATATATGCTATACTTTTCTCTTCGTTTTGTTTTCACCGTTCTAGATTTATCATTCATGTACTGAATGAATGTGGCGACTTTTCAATGCTCAATTATAGAAAAACGTGAAATAAAAAAGCTGCTTGCTTTGAGCAGGAAGTGACACGGGGCAGGCAAACAGGAAGTGTGCCAGGCAGAACGGCGCAGCGGGACAGGAAGCGGGAAAGTTGGAGTGAGGAGGGAAACGCCGACTCAGCGCTTCGGATAGCATTTAGCTTCCCTTCAACATTTAATGGATGTTATGAATGATGGCTGCCGAGCAGATCGGTTCGAAAATAAAGGTGAAGGAAGTGAAACGTGATTATCATGAAAGCTTCCATTTCTCCTCAGGAGGCTTTTATTTTGAAATCTTCAGCAGATTGTTGCGTATCGATTCTGTCTGGTTGAGGCTTGAAAAGGGAGGACAGAAATAACTGCAGCTAAAACACCCAGACTGTCTATAAGTAAAACCAGTGGAATGGTTTAAATTAATAAGACATTTTCTGAATTTAATCTTTTAGATTAAAAATTTTAAAGAATATTTCTGGGGGTAAAAATACGCAAAAATATCAGTTCTGTCAGACATAAACAGATATTTACTGATTTTAGCAATCAAAAAGTAAAAATACAGACAATAATTAGATGATTTTCAGCCTGTTTCTGAATTGGCCTGCAGCCAGTAGAGAACTGACTGCTGCTGGTTTCCAGTCGTACCTGAAAGAGGTTTCAGTTCTGGCTGAATGCAACGCGGATCTGGATTCTTGGTACCGCTGATGTTCATGTCATCGTCTGAGGAGACACAATTAAGCAATAATAACAAATATTACATCAGCCCAATTAAAAATTCAGAAATTTAATTCAGAAATGCTCCATAATGGTCACATAGAGTGCTGTATACATATTCATGGAAAGTTTGGTGGAAGGAAGATATGTACCTGTAGGAACCTTGCCATCCACACTTTTGAACACTGGGATTTTTTACTATCAAAATCCCAGATTTTGTGGCGCTAATTTAGGAATATTAGCAATATTTTCCCCCATTAATCTAAAAATCTACATGTTGAAGAAAAACATGAGCAGACGCATATTAAATCTTTAAAGAACATAAATAGCTCCATTTTGGTACTCGCCACATTGATAACGGACGAAAACTTGACAGGATGGCCGAGGCAGCAGTGTGGTAGAAATAAGAAACACTGCCACCTGCAGGTGGGAGTCAGCATCACTCAAACCAAATGTTTTTTATTTTTGCGAAACATTTGCGAGGAGAGGAAGAATCCAGAGGAGAGCAGGAAGAAACATTCCATCCATCCATCCATCCATCCATCCTGATGTGTTGAGTAAAATAAATGACTTGCTGACAGATAAATTATGAGATAAAATAAATGGAATATTTCATGTTTTATGTTTTTAACAAAGTAAAAAATCCAGTAAACTAGTTTAGACCTGAAGAGTCCTGGATGGTTTTTAGGAATATAACTAATTACCTGTGTGTTCATAACGTCGCTCCGGCTCTAATTTGATCTGTTTTCACTTGCCTCCGTCATCCTGACCTCCAGCTGTAGATTAAAACACACCGACGGATTCTCTCCTCTTCCAATCTGCTGAGGGAAATCTGATGAGAACTTATTGATCTGCTGATTGTTGGTCGGCTCCGTCCTGCTTCCAGTCGAACCCGGATCCATTTCGCCTCAGGAGGCCCGCTGCTCGCTCCGCTCTCATCCAGGCTGGTCCTCTGGAGATGCAGATCAATTGATTTTGTCTTGTTGAGGCTTGAAAGAGGCGGATAAAAATAGGTGTAGCTCGATGGTTCCCTCACATCCATCTTTTTTCCTACTTCGTGTTGACAGAAGGGCTCTGTTTAATTTTCTTGAGACAGTTTGCACTAAATAAATCAATAAATCCTGATGTAACGAGGAGGATGATGACCTTTTCATGGTTGGTTGAAAACTTTGAGATATTCACGTTGAGTTGGAGATTTTTTTTAGTATCGGTGGGAATATTTTACCATCTCACGATTTTATCCAAGATCAGTTTTTAATCCAATTGAGTATTAAAATTGATTTCTGCATTAATCTCTTTCATTTTGCAGTTTTGCATTTCTGTACCGTCTCCATGACGACTACACGATGTAGTTCCAAAATAGATGCCGACAGACTGCCGATTGGTTTTATTTATTTTTTAAAATCAACTTTGGGACATTTATATATATATCGATTCTGAATCGTATTAAATGAGAGTCCTGATTCTTACGTGAGTCGACTTCAGCCACTAGAGGGCAGTAGAAGGCAGTTTAGCCTTTTCACAATCACAAATTTGGCTGGACGATAAATTGTCCCAGAAATTATTGCGATAAACGATAATATTGTCATTATGAGACCATTTTAAACTAATTTAACGCTACATTATTAAAAATTTTTATTTTCTACAGAACATTTCACACTGGAACTGGAAAACGATTGAAAAATCCAAAATAAACAAACGTGAATTATAAAATATAAAATTGCATTTAAAGAATAATAATCATGGCAGGTAGCTTCTTCATGCTGGTGGTTAAATGTTTGCAGCGTTTATCAAAATGACGGCTTTTCATCTATTAAAGGGAAGGATAACATTATTAAATTATTTTAATGTATCGTCTGTGATTAATTGATTTATTGCTTAGTCTTGTTAAAATCTTCGTTCCTATTGGACCACCAGTAGAAAAATGGATTTATACCAGAAGGTTGTTGATAACTTCACCAAGAGTTTGCTCAGATGTTTGGGGAATTTATCGTGAATGTTTCTGAAAATATGCGATAAGTTCAAACTTGTCCTCCAGATTCCTGTTTTTTCTTTTGGAAGTAAAACGAAACATTTTCTGGTCAGTTATGTGATGCTTTCCCAAATGACTCTAAAAGCTTCTCGCTTTCTTGTTTGTAAAAATCTTCACCTCGCTGAGTGGGGTCACAGCCTGGCAACGCCGGGTCGTAACCATAGCAACAGCAGCTGCAGAGAGTCCAGCCATGCAGTAATTGGGCTTTCTGATGCACAGCCGGAGGAGACAAATATACTGACACTTTATCACAGAGCGCCGCGCGCGTGTGTGTGGTCACACTGAAAATGAGCCTGTTTTTCATGTTTGGATCATTTGAATGTTTTATGGTGGCTGTTGGAACCAGAAACGCTTTCTGCTGGATCTCCATCCACACATGAAGCCCTACTTTCTCCTTTTTTAAAAATATAAATACATTTTAGTGCAGTTTGAATATCAGCAAAAATAAGGAACATTTTCAATTCAAAAAACATTTTTGCTGTGAAAATTATTGAATTAATTAGACATATGAAGTTCACACCAAATACATTTATAGTTTTTAATCTGTTCTTTAACCACAATACAAAATCTTTCTTATTTCTAATGTGCTTCTTTCGGACACCAGTCAGATAAAGAAATGTGATTTGAACCACTAATCTGATCAGTTAATTCCCATTAATCATAATTTCCCCTTTTTGGTATTTATCGATATTTTTTATTGATCAAACAGTGGAGAAAATAGAAAAACCGACATTCCAGACAGTTTGGGGGATTTTAAACAAAATTCATTGGAATTTATCATGAAAACAATAAATCCAAATCTTATCACAATAAATGATAAATGATACAAAAAAATCTTATTTGAATATGATCTTCTAATTCATCTGTAGCAAGACTCGTTTCTGCAAGAAGAACCAGATATATTCAGGATTATTGATTTTTACTGAAACTTTTCATTGAAAACAGCAAAAGTAACAATCCCGACATTACTGACAGTTTTAAACATTATTTGGAATAAATGATAAACGATACAATAAATAGCAATGAGAAAAAATAATTTCTACATATTAAATATGATCTAATTGATCTCAGACTAATTTTTCCAATAATATTTAAGAATAATGGGATAAGAATTATATATTATCATAATCCTGACATTACAGACAGATTTGGGGAATTTTAAACATCATTAATTTATCTTCACGATAAATCATTCTTATCTCGATAAATGATAAACATCATTTCATGTTAAATATGATTTCAGCTGAATGAAAACCAAATATGATCCTTTAATTCATCTGCATTGACTCATTTCTGCAATAATGATGAAATGAAAGCTCTGATTTCTGCAGAAACTCTGATGATCAGATGGAGAACTGGCAGCTTTTCTGAGGCTCATTCCAGCAAAACCAGCAAATTTAACGGCTTTAATTTCATGGCTGTTGGATGAAAATGATCAGAGCAGCAGAAGAAGGAGGCAGGATGGAGCAAGAAGGCGTTACCTGGGTGGTACAAATCATCTGTGCTCGCTCAGCCGTCTGCATTCTGCTCATGTTTCCGCTCCACAGCAGAACGCGATGAGAGGAGAGGAGGGAAGAGCTGGAGGCTCGTTAATTAGGATCTGCAGGATGTGAAGAGCGGATCAAGGAGCCAGCTGCAGTGGGAAGTTCCACCACTCAGGACCTTTTGATCTGCAGCATCCAGCCGGGGACGGAAACAAGCCGGCGGAGGACGGCTCCGCTCCGGATCGCACACGGCATGACGAGGGCGCTGCGCCGTGGCGGCCGGCAGCGGAGAGGGCATTGCCGCGCTGCTGCTTCCTGTCGCCCCGAGGCGCCGCTCAACGCAGGTGAAGCAGCATGACAGCCGGTTAGTGGAGGAAATACTGAAGACGCCCAACAAGCAGGAAGCAGGAGCAGAATCTTGATTTCACTGGAAACCAGCGTCCTGGAGGAGTCATGCTGCGGGCCAGCTGATGAGCGATGAGGCTGAGGGGAGCCTCATGGCTCCTCCCACTGGATAAGCATGCAGGTTCTGCAGATTGTCAAGGAGCTGGTGTCTCCATCCAGGCACCGGGCAGCCGCGCGATTTGGAGGTGTGTGCGCTGGTTTTAATCACCAAACGGCTACAGTTTTCATTCGAGGTGCACAAATAAAAAGATTTGTGAATCGATTCAGCAGATTTTAAATGCAGTAAAGTTGTACGTCTATTTGCGGTTATCCTGCATCGCATTGCGCCTCGGCTCGGCCACCGTTTGCATATTTTATTTACCTTTTTCAATCAGACTAAATTAATTTCTTTTTGGGATCAAAATTATTTACATTTCCTTTTTTTTTTTTTTTTTTTAGATTTCTTCTTTTTTTATTTAAGTATTTAATTTGTGGTCGATTAAAACGGCGAAATTCTAAATAATTTCCACAATTTCACAAAATTGTTTTTCTCTCTCTCTGTCTCTCTCTCTGTCGCTCTCTCTCTCTCTCTCTCTCTCTCTCTCCCCCTCTCTCTCTCTCTCTCTCCCTTCCTCCCTCTCTCTCTCTCTCTCTCTCTCTCACGTTTTTGGATTTACTGAAAACAAATTAATGTGTTAAAAGGAAATGGAAACACATTTCTCATCCACCGGTGACTCTCTGCCTTACCAGAGGCACCAAACTCCATTGTTTTTATGTGATCTGTGCTAGTTTGCATTTTCTGCTTCCTGTTTATTAACATGTTATTGGTGAAATTCGCTCTGTTATCTGTTGATTCGTTTCAAACCAGCAGATGAAAATGCGACTTGTTTCTCTTTGCGACATTTAAAAGTGACGATTGGATGGAAACATGGCGGCTGTTTGTTTTGGAGCCACTTTAAGGTGGACTTGCTGGTTATCGAGTTTCCTCATCATTTCTAAACGGCGTTTTGTTTTTCTCTGAAGAAATCTCTAAATTAAATTAGTTTTTTTAAAACAAAAGGTTGCTGCTAAAATTGTCCGTGTCTTCTCGGGTCCATCTGCTGCTTCACCCAGAGACTCTTCAGCTTTAATGGAGCTGGACAGAAACCCGTCCGTCTTGTTTTGTGTCTGTGGGAACAGACAGCTGTTAGCTGTTGTCAGTGAAAGGAAAAACTAAGTTAATCTTTCCATAACGTCTCTGTCAGATCTCACCATCAGTGTTTTATTAAATTCAGAGCAATCTGATCAGATTTAACAGTGAAGTTAATCATTTTGTGCTGCAGCGGTTGACGCTCTGTCGTTTGTCTGAATGAAGTGGACATGTCCCCCGGAGACGGCCGTGTTGCTGCAGGACGCGTCTCTGTCTGGGTTGTAGGTGGTTTTGTGTCGCGCTGCTGCGATTCTCTGGTGTCCGATAAATAATGAAGCTGCTGCTGACCAAACCAGATGATTCCAATTCAACTTTTACAGCTTATTTATCCTAAATGTCATTTATTGAGGTTGATTGTTGAAAAATACAAATTATGAGATTAATTTCACACAGAGGGATGTTTTTAAAGCCGTTAGTTCTGCTAACAATGATAATTTAACCATTAAAAACTCAAATCAACTTCTCCAGCAATTTTAAATTTTATTTTTTCTCTTTGTTGTTACAAATAAACATGTGAGGCATGAATCTATCAATACTTGGCAGACATTTGTCTTCTTGCCACTTGTAAGCCTGTTGCAGTAATCAATAAATCAGTTAACAGAAACGGCTCGATAATGTCCATTTCTGTAATTGTTTTTTTATCTTTCTACCAAAAACTAGATGAACAATTTTGTTTAGAGACTTTATTTTATATTTTGTTTATTTTGGATATTTAAAATGTCTTCCAAGCTTCAGTTTGTCTGAACTGAAAGTTTATTGATCTTCATTATTATTCCGTTATTATCACTTAAAAGTGGTCTCAAAACGATAATGTTATCGTTTATCACAGTAATTTTTGGCACAGCTTATCATCAGACATCATTTTTCATCATGACAGGATATACAGTTTGGATATCTGGAGCTCTGACCTCTGCAGCTCCTCCAGAGCCACTGTGATGGGACTGGTCAGATCTGGGAAGTTGTTTTGTATGAAGTGGAGAAACGAGGCTGCGGGGAGCACGCCTCGTTTCTAAACAATCCCTGCTGGAGGCTTACTGCTGCTTAGAGGAGCTCAGCCCTCATTAACTCCACCTGGACTTAGGATCAGGAGATCCAGCAGAGGATCAAGCTGCAGCTCAAACTCAGTTGTTTGTTAGAAAGCAGATGGATTTTAAACGTCATTTCAGGACATTTAACGTCCTCAGTCAGAGAAGGAGTCAGAGTTGTTAACTTCACAAGCAACACCTGATAGTCCGGTAGATTTGGTTTGATTTTGGACCAAAGTTTCAACATTTCCTCCATTTCCAGCTGCTGTGGTTCTCTCCCTCTCTGCTCTGAGTCAGACCTGTTCCCCTCCTGGCCTGTGGGGGCGCTGCACCAAGAACCACTGAAGGAAATGACACTGAAACCTCCAGAACTTTGTTCTTCTTCAAATGGAAATAGAAATGGATTTTAGTGGTAGCAGAATTTCGAAAGATCATGAGCCATGATGAAAGTCAGTTTGGTCTGGTTTTATTTACCCAGAATGCCCTGTGCTGTAGTCCACTTCCTGTTTTTGAAGCAGCTATGTTCTTCAACTTATTTCAGCTTGTTGTGTCATCTGTTTTACCCAATAAGAGCAAAAAGGTTTAACATTCACCATAAAAATCATTTTTCTTAATATTTATTTTATTTGTACAGAAGTCTGTAATTTAAAATCAAAACAACAATTACAGATAAAACCGTATTGTTCAAGTATCTGCAGATAATTTGATAAATTAAGTCTGAAATGTGGTGGTGAATAATCAATTGCTTTGAACGTCTTATAGTTTAATCAGAAGTGTTTCAGCTGCTTTTTTTATACCCCAGCTTCTCTGTTACATCAGCAGAACAGGCTGAATGATACAAATAAACAGGAAGATGCAGCAGCCAGTACAGTCTCTCTTTTACTGTGAAAATCATAGTAATAGATGGAAAGCCTAAATTGATTAGATCAATAATAATGCCTGATTTTTTACGTTTTCCATCAAAAACAGATAGTTCTGTTTTAATTTGGGACAGAAATGTTCTGATCTGCATTTCAGACTGAAATATCGCAATGTGGATATGAATACCTTATAAAAAGATAAACGGTTTAAGAAACAGGAAGTTTGATGTTGTCTTCAATAAAGTGTTGGACAAAGAGCTGGAGCTGAAAGCATGTCGTTCATTTCTGATAAATAACCTCACTGCAGCATTTTTTTGGGTTTTGATGCCAAATAAACAGGAAATGACTTTAAATGACCCAAAACTCCCAAACTGCTGAGATGTTGACTCAAGAGATAAACCCATCGCTTCGTTTCCGGGGGTCTGAACTCCTCCTCATTGAACATTTTGATAGTTTTTGGACGTTTCACCACTGTTTTATGTGTGAAATTTGGATTATTCTGGTCTCTGCAGATCATCTTGTTTTCTGTATTTTTCCGCAGCAGTCGGACAGAACCGAGCTTGGAGTATTTATTGACTGCAGCAGCGTTTTTCATGGTGCGTTGTGCTCCATCTCTGGGCGCTAAGCGAGTTAGCAGGCGTGTGTGAATGAAATATGGATGCTGGTCAGGAACAGTGGAAACCCTGCAGGTGTTGTGGCGAAGCCGCCTGCTGACATCTCTGCTCAGCTTGTCTGTTGTTCCTTAAGGCCAGAGCTGCTGTTTATTCTCCAAGGACTGCTTTTATATTTATATTGATCCCGGTTTACTCCTGACTTATTAAATTATGCATCAGATGCCTGCAGATCATGAAACATCACACAAAGCCTCCGTCAATATTTTGCTTCTCAGCTTAATGCAAACATGGGGGGCCATTTGCAAAGTTTCGGTTGAAAATTTAGCCTGTTGTGAGAAAAAAATGGGGGTTAATTTTTCAAAGTTATTTCATCATGTTATTAATTTATAAACATACCAAAGTTAGCAACCTAACTATTTAGCGCCAAACTAGATATTTAGCTCTGAGCTACATAAGTAGAGCTAATTATTTAATTTTGGCGCCAACTATTTAGCTATCTTAATTAATATTTATGAAGCTACATATTTAGCTTCCTAACTAAATACATTACTCTGAGCTAGCTAAATCTTTAGCTTA